AATGAAAGTTAGAATTATTTCATCTGAGATCTCTGTCTATTGTTCAGGAATTATTGAGAAATTGATATAGCTCCTTCTTTATAGCATCAATTGGATTAACAATAAAAGAAATCTGACTGCAAAGATTCATAGGAAACAGCATCCTCGATACTACCATGATTTTTTTATATAAATGTTACACTAATGTTACTTTATATAGATTATCATGTTATTCAAAGTTTTAATTGAATCTTCTGTTTCTTCTTATAACCTGCATACCACCTCTTGTGTATTGTTGTTATTTATCATTTAAACATTGTTAGTAATTGTACTTCACATGCACGAATCTCTTTGTGACTTGTAACTTTGTTACTCATTGAGAACACGTCGAATGTCATTCTTTATAATTCAACGAACAGTATTATAAGAGCGAAGTTCTCGGGTGCATACGGCAGCCGAGAGGAGCTCTTTACTGGTAACATGTGCGTGTAAATAGATCTGATCCAACCAAACTAATTCCATCACTGAATCGTACAGCTACAGCCTAGAAACTTTTCGTACTTCCGTTGACCTCTTCCGGTTCATGGAGCCCGTAAATAGGCCTATGCCTAATCGAAAAATAGAGCGACATGTAACGTAGCAGGAAAATTATGTATTCGAAACAACGAATTTTTCAAAAACTATTGACCATATTCAATACAGTGGGCGTGTTTATTTCGCGATTTCTTTCCTTTTGTATCGAAAATAGAAATGATTGGCATGGTCATCAAAAAGCTTACATGAATGTCACAAGAAAATGGCGTCGAAGAGTGCGTAAGAATGTGATTAGTTGACAAACTGTATTACCGTCGATTAAATTAGCTTAAATTTAAGTAAGAAATAGATAATTTGATACTAACAACTTTCTAAACATACACATTTTCCATCTAAATATTGATGATCGAGCGTAACACACGAGGGTCATTCCCACTAGAACGGAAATACCCGAGTATGTACGAAGCAGGGTCAACGACTCCAGGTATACACAGATAGATATAAATAATAATATACAACATTCATATAGCGCTCTATATAATTTGTAAAATAACTCTAAAGCGCTTTACAACATATGGATAATAGTAATGGTTATAATTGTGAAAACAAAAAACAAGAGATCCCAGAGGGATCTTGGCGTCGACCATTGTACCATCTTCATTAGTTCTTTGTCAATTCGATCTTTTCTCTTCTTTCCTCTGATCTGTTTGATCAAGTCATGTTAACAGTAAATGCACCTTGATGTAACTTTTGATCTAAACTTAATACTGATGTGTATGAAAGCCAACCTTCAAAGTGAGTTTGTCATTTCACATATTTACTAGTACAGTACTTAATGTGAAAGAAATAGAATCAATTATTGCTATATGAGAAAGATCTGTTTAGTTCTTGCTTTAGTCATTTTGTTTTTATGATCAGTCTCAAAATATAACATGCACAACGAGGGATCAGGGGGAACCTACATATCAAATTTGAGAAAGATGCCTCAAATTATTCCTGAGAAATAGTACTAACAAACCTTCAATGTCAAAAATCATAGATGGCTGTCGGTAGGCCATTTTGTTTAACTGCTCAGTTTCAAAAGTAAACATGAATAATAAAGGATAGTGGGGAACCTGCATTGGCTGGCCCAAAAAAAATTGGGCGAGTAAACCATTTGAAGCACTGGCCAAAATGACATATTGGTGGCCCAAATAATTTTGGGAAGAAATATTTCCACAGCATTTAGCACAATGCTTAAGCACATTTAAATTACATATAACATGACAATGTTTGTAATATGTAAAACAGAATAAAACATAAAATTTTTAATTCTTCAACCCTAGTTAAAACCTGACATGATCCACTCCATTCTGGTCTTCCCAAAAAGAAATACACAAAACTCGCACCTCAAAGAAGACAATCTGGCAGTATTTATATAGAAAATCTGAAAAAATATCACATTTTCTAAATCACGGACAGTTCGATTCAAATCGAAGTAATGACAACTGAAAAATGTACTGCCCCCAGTTAATGTGGAAGAGACTATAATTTCTTTTATTCATTAATTTTTCGACAGTCTCCCAAACTATTTTTGTTGGGCCAGTGACTACCTCACTTTTGACAACTTTTGGTCGCTCGAGCAAGACTTTAACCGCCATTGACGAACAGGCGACCGTCTATTTAGGTACTTCTGCACGAACAAGGGAACAAGGAAAACCTACATATAAAATTTGAGAAAGATCCCTCTGGTACTTCCCGAGAAATAGCAATAACAAACTTTCACTATCAAAATCCAATATGGCTGCCTGTCGGCCATGTTGTTTATCCGATCAGTCTCAAAAGCTGCCATGCACAGCTTTAGACCAAGGGGAACCTACATATCAAATTTGAGAAAGATCCCTTTGGTACTTCCCGAGAAATAGCAATAACAAGCTTTCACTATCAAAATCCAAGATGGCTACCTGTCGGCCATGTTGTTTATCCGATCAGTCTCAAAAGTTGCCCTGCACAGGTAAGGATCAAGGGGAACCTACTTATAAAATTTGAGAAAGATGCCTCTAGTACTTCTTGAGAAATACCGATAACAACCTTTCACTATCAAAATCCAAGATGGCTGCCTGTCGGCCATGTTGTTTATCCGATCAGTCTCAAAAGCTGCCCGACGACGGACCACGGACGCAGGGTGATTTGAATAGCCCACCATCAGATGATGGTGGGCTAACAAAGGCTTACAATCACTTTTATACATTTAAGCAAGCAATGTGCACATAATCGAACAAATAAAAGGGTGGTATTTACTTGACGTCTTTGCAAGGATTCTAAAACGCAGACGGGAAGAGAGGAGCTTTGATGTCCCTCTTGAACTTGGCCAGGGTATTTGACTTTCTATTAGCAGATGGTAAGCTATTCCACAACGTAGCCGAAACCCTCCCAAAACTTCTGTTTCCGTAGGTCACAGTCCGAGATTTTGGGACACACAACAGATTCTGACTCCGACCGCAGTGATCGTGACGGCTGATACTAGGTAACTACTGCGGAGCTGTTTCATTCAGTGCCTTGTATGTGTACATCAGAATTTTGTACTGCAACCTGTATCGTACAGGTAACCAGTGCAACGAATAAAGCACAGAATACACATGATGAAACAGAATTGTCACCGACAGCTTTCCAAGGGAAAACGTAAGGTGTTTCAAAGGGGTCAAATTGTGGATTTTTAAGTATCACTACTCTTGTATTTGCATTCATTGTAGAACGTCAACTTTATATTCAGTTCTTCTAAATTCTTCCATTTGGGGTCGTTTCTGTTGACATTTTATCCAAAGTAATATTACCTTTAGATTTTACAACTAAAAACTGTGGAATTTCAATGCAATAGATTGAATCTAGTTTCATCTAATGCAACAAAATTAACAATTACTTCAAAAAGACAAACATTATCTGTACAATTTTGTACAGTAAAATATCTTGATTGATACTTAGATAAATATAAACTTTAAATGCTTGACACTTTGTACATGTATATACTTTCGTTAATCTGCATAAATCATTACAGCATTTTGATTCGACATTGAAGTGAACACATTAGTTTGCCCTGCTTTATGAATATCAGTTAAGAAGAGAATTAGAAACATTAACTTTTCACCACTTTTATTTTTGTTAACAGATTGCATAATATGCGACCATCAGCAACCCGCATTTCTAATCAAAATCAAAACTATTCCGCATATGATGTAACTGGTGATGGCAATTGTTTTTGTTCAACCACATTTAACACCTATATTGACTCAAGAAGTCCATCATGAAACTGACATCAATTCCATCAAGTTAACACAACCATCACTAAACACAACACACAATCTTTGACCCTCAAATTTGACAATAATAAGGGTATCAATCAAACATCGAGGAAAACATGATCAAATCGCAAAAAAAATCACTCAAAGTATGATTACACAAAGTTATACGATGGTGTCCATACAGAAACTTCACTTGCAAACAGATGGTTTTAGCTGATATGCCAATCTATCTCTATAGGTATCTACAAAAACTTTATGACAACAGCGACGATGAAGAGGAGGAATCTCCTTATGTAGACACCTGGAATTTCTAAGGTATATAATCAGTACAAACATTAAATTTCATCATTTCACGTGGATTATCTAAAGTATTAAAAAGAAAAATCTAAAATCTTCTTTTTTTACTTATAGTGTTGGGAGACGTGACAGTCTCTAACCTGCTGTGTCTAACATGCTAAACATATTTAATTTAAATCAGAGATATCCTTCATGGATTGGCATATCAGCTCAAACCATTTGTTTAAAAATTCTGCTTACAACTCACATTATCATTTTTACTCTATGATGGATAAAAATAATAATATCAATACAGTCTAGCTATATAGTAGTACCGTATAATACAAACCAGTCAACTTCAAACTAACATGTGATGCGTCATATCAGTGTAGTGTGAATGTGGATCATTCTAAAACATATATATTGCACACATAAGAACAAGGATGGATGATTTTGCCCAGCAACAGATTCAAGTATATTATTAAAAAAAAACAAGTACAGGTACATTGTGTATGTATTAAAATGGGTAACGTTATGATTCCATTATTATACTATAGTCTACTATTGAAACAAATGTTAACATTACGAACTTCCCTCTCTCTCCAGGCAATGTCCGAGTCATATTATTAATATATTATTAACATAGCAGAAATGCAATAGTAATGTGCATGTTTATTCGTGGTATAAATGTCTTGCAAACATTGCTATCCTTCAATACCTACTTTTTAATCAATTGGAGTGAGGGTGATGCGAAATTGAATCGAATAATATAAACCCGGTAATGTATTTCCTGTGGTTAGTAGCTACCGCTTCCGAAAGAAGCATCTCTATAACACTGATGACAACAACAAAATCTTAGTTACGCCGACTCTTGTCTTCCTGCTCTAAACATGACACGTTGATTTAATGCTTGTAAGTATTTATCAGGTGAGAAACTGTGACGCTGTTTCTGGAACCTCCTCATATGTCTAAGCATCATCTGGCAGGTTGAAAGTATATGATTTCCAGTCGTCACCAATATATGGACTTGTGTACCACGTGCTATAACATGTTCAGAATGACAAGACTTCAAAACATCTGTTCAGTTTCTAGCAATATGATCATTGAATGATCTTATCCAATAGATATCCCATGATCGCAATATTGGTATGTCCATCTGTTTGTTTGTAGTGCGATGTAGATGCTATAGGCTGTTGTTTACTGTTAGTTTATTTTGTCTAGACTTGGCCGGGCATTATTTTGGAAGTTTGGTATTAACCTCAATCTACTCATTATATCAATTCTGAAAGTGTGAATTTAAGAAATCAAATCACATCTTAGTACTTTATAGGGCTTGCAATCTAGCCCTATTAACTGCATAGACATATGGTGGTAAGTCTACATACATAGAGGTATTTAATTATATCCTGTTGAATACCATTTCATAAGCAGGGCACAATATTGATATTTTTTGACGAATGGGAAGTTTGATTGAAATATCAGTATAGTTTGCCATACCAGTTATATAATTATACAGTATTCCATTGGAAAACAATTAACTTTTATTTAAAATAGTTGGGAATTTCACAATGCAGTCTTTAGCGCCATATAAATTTAATTACAATGATATAAGACTTGAAAACAAAACTGTGCTCCAATAAATTTCAATTGGCTACTCAGTGTAATTATTTTTTGCTAATATCTGGTAAGATTTGCTTACAGAATGTTATCAATTGTACAGAGAGATAAATATCTTAGTGTATGTGTGCATTACATCAGATGTATTAAAACAGCCACTAATTCTGTCATCTTTTCATCTGCATCTGGACAGAAAATGTGTAGCTTTGGATGCAGTGAATAGGAAAAACTGTTTTGATTCAGTACCAGAAGTGATGTTTTCATGTTTGTCACAAAATATCAGTTTTATAAATTTATCTCTCTCGACTCTAGAAAAACTGTTAAATTTGTATATCATATGTTGGTATGTAATGTTGCAATTGTTCCACACAAAATGTTGAAATTTCTTAGTTTGCAATTGATGAAACTTTAAGAATACCATTTTGTCCACAAGCTTATATATACATTCAATTCTTAAACAATTTGATGTCTTGATGGGTTTTTTCTTTCAGAAAAACAGATTTCTTATGAACAAGATGTCTTAAATTGGAAAACACAACTCGCAGAACTATTATCAATTTCCAATATCTATCAATCAGTGTTCTCTTCATTTCAAATCTAGTCAGGACCCAATGGGTTCAAAGGACACAGAAGGTAATGGGGGCCGCAAGCGTCACATAGGACAACACCGATTGGTGGATGTCACTGCTCCAGAGTCGGAACTCTCGGCCCCACATATACCCCTCCACACGACAATCCAGCAACCCGACTTGGAGGATATGGATTGTGGCAAGAGTACAGAACATAGTCTCAAGGGAGATTACTCTAATGTGGCATTGTTAATGTTATTGTACATACTTCAAGGGATTCCGCTGGGCTTAGGTGGCAGTATTCCTATGTTACTACAGAGTCAGAATGTAAGTTACAAGGAACAAGCGATATTCAGTTTTGTATTCTGGCCATTTAGTATTAAACTACTATGGGCGCCACTTGTCGATTCCCTCTACTTCACATGGTTCGGACGGCGGAAGACCTGGCTGGTTCCTATACAGTATTTGATTGGCCTGTTTATGTTCGTCCTTTCAATCCACGTCGATGATCTGATGGGGAAGAATGGCAGTGTCGTCAACATTTACACCCTTACATTTGTTTTCTTCATGCTGAATTTTCTCGCAGCTACACAAGACATCGCAGTGGATGGCTGGGCACTCACTATGCTGTCAAGGTACACATTACCATACTAAATATTGTCGTGATCTGGCCAGAAGATTTTGCCTGTAGCACGTCAAAATCTATATCTTCTTGCCCAGCAGACCATTGCAAAATTTCTTATTCAATATAACTATAATAATTCATGGCAAGCTGTTTTATTACTTATCAAATACACGATGGAGAGAAAAAATGAATTTGTATCTGTTAAAACAGTAAATAGACCATATTATTATAAAGGCTAATTCCATAACGTGTACATACATATATGTATGTATATATAAGATGTGAAATTATTTGGACAAGTTTATTTCACCGGGTAAAATATAAGTACTTTTCACTTGTCAAAAAGGATCAGGGTTTTTGAAATCGGTTCTTGTCCTGATGGTATGTTAGACAGCTGGCTACCTGCCCCTAAGTTTTTATAAATAATTTCTCCAGCTTCATATTACTACTAGCTTAAATCTATCCCTAGTTTGAGAACAGACATCCAAGCGATCAATTTTATTAGAGTTTACATTTTTTTTTAATAATTAAATATTCTAGAGATGAGGGGCCAATCTAATGGTATGTATAATGCTTAGTAATTAAGAGTACCGGCCCCAGTTGCTTAAACCAGTGGTAAGTGACAAATTTTACAACACTGTACAACAAAATCAAGAACACCTGAAATCATTTTACTGCTATTGATTTGTTTAGACAGATCAGACTGATGGGTTTTCGTGATTTATTTTGCTTAAAAACCCCCGATATTTTATGGCAACAATTTGAAGTTTTCACCAACTGGTGGTTATAGTCAATCAAACTTTAGGCAACCGTGGCTAGGTAGATAAATGTCAAGGTAAAGAAAAAAATGAAAGCGCAGCATATCTGACTATAAGAAATAAAAATCTATGTTAAAAAAATCTATTTAAGTGTAGGTACTTCATGTAAAAGAAAAAAGATATAATCTTTCATTTGAACAAACTATTTCTTATGCGAGAAATATTGCTGTTGTAATGTTTTCAGACGTAACGTCGGCTGGGCTAGTACCTGTAACACTGTTGGCCAGACCGCCGGATACTTCCTCGGGAATGTCCTGTTCATGGCATTGGAGTCCCCTAGCTTCTGCAACACCTACCTCCGTTCTGTTCCGTCCGATAGTGGTGTTATTACTCTACCAAGTAAGTCTTACACAACATACTGTCAGACTGCCATGTAAGTTTGACAAAAGGCATCTTCACTTTCTCTTATACATGTTATATTTCAAATATCGGGAACATTAAACCAAATAACAGATTTTTTTGATTTTTTTTGAAAATTAGCAAAACTGTAACAATTAGAGGAATATTTAATATTAAAAATAAAGATGAGTTGAACAAAGATTCCAGAGGTGGGGGTGGGGGGTGCCAACAAACACTTGTACTGGTACAGTATACTGGTAAGTTTAATATTCCCCCTTCACCTGAAAAATCTGTATGTATGGTAGGGATGATCGCTACAGATTAAATTCACATGTAATTACTATATATACGTGTATATATTTATATGGGTCAAAAAAGTAATATAGACGGTAAAATCCCATATAACACTGGATCCTAATGGAGGTATGTCCGTAGGATACGAATTACTTAAAATAGTATATAGGGCAAAGAAGTAATTCCAACAGTATGGACAAGTTAAGGTTGTCAAATTTTCGGGGGATCCGCTCCTTTATCAAGACACTGTGAAACAGAACAGTTACATTTATATATATATTTTATGTTGTGTACAAGTGTTTGCTGTCATAATAAATTTACTGTCATTAGGAAGGGCGAAAAAATAAGAGAGTTGAACTGCCACAAAAAGAGTTCCCAATATACTGTAGTTGAGGCAAAGTTACTCAGAATCAGCACTTTTCAGACATCATATTTTGAATTCACTAAAACTACTGTATTTTAATGATGGGCAATCAGTTTAAAATCATAATCTATAATCAGTTTGTAATCCGAAGAAGTAAGCCAATTGATGATGGATTGCATATTTGGTTAAAAAGGTGAGAACACTATAGCTACTGTAACATCAATAGACGGAGGTGTAAACATGAGGTTTTGTTCTTTTATAAATGTATTTCAAGCAACTTTTATGCAGTGTTTTCAATCACATATTAAACATCCATAAGGATAAATGACTTTCAATGCATATTTTACACTGTATACATTTGACACTTTGAGTTCAATAATGTACTGATTATATCGATAATTGAATTTATAATTGGAATCAGTAGGGGCAAGCTGATCGATTTTCAATTAAAATTGATCATTAACTCATTATTGCTGCATGATTCCAATGTTGTAAACAATTACTGATTTAAGGGATATCAAAGTTATAGCCTGTTATAATTCAATCATCATTACAGATTTCCTGAAGATGTGGGGTGTTGTGTTTATTGTCACGACGACACTCGTCTGGGCTCTGAAGAGGGAAGCGGAGGATCCAGAGGCTGATTTAGATCAGGGAGTCATAGGGACATACAAACAACTGTTTAATGTCATCAGACTTCCTTCCGTCATCTCCTACGCTATCATCATCCTCACAGCCAAGGTAATCAATGTCATGGGTAGTGAATTTCAAGGTCAAGGACTCATGGGACATGTGTCATTATTCATAGTTCAAGGGTCATGGTTGAAAGTAATGGGTCTGAGAGGTTCCTGCTGGGTCAAATGCAATCCCGTACATTTTCAGAAGGGAATTGTTTTCACAGCTGACTTTGGAAATTTTGTTTGTAAACTAGTACCATATTTATCTGGCAATAAGGTCACCAATATATATTGCAGTTAGGAAGAATTACCAACAAAAGTTTTTTCATTGTCCTGTATTAAGCCCATCCCCCCTATGTTCAGTCAGAGATTATGTTGAAGCCCCTGGGGGCACATTGCAGGATAAATACAGTAGTTGTATAAGACATTATTATCCATTCTATTAGAAATCATCAATGTCTATTTAAAGACATTCCAGGAGTACAACTGCATTTTGTCTGTAGCTTTCTAGGATGACAGGCTGTGTATTCAAAGTTTGTTCAAATTAACAACAACCCACATGAGTAAAATACATTTGTACATTTAAATCTTTCAACAAAGGTTATTTGCTATATATCAAGTTTGTTTAAATAAATGACAATGACAGACTTTGAAGGTCGCATTTTTTTACACCAATCACTAACAGGTTAGCAATATAGGCCCAATGGGCCTTTTAAATTTACATTAATAAATGACACTGATTATTAGTTCTTTTTTTTTGTTAAAACACTATGATGTCAGAATCTAAAATCAATCAAATGATGAAGTGCATGTTGATTCTGATCCCAGCTGCACAAATGTTCCTTCTTAAAGAAATTCCTTAGCTTGAATTTTTCTATAGAAAATCTTAAGTTGCAGAAGTTTTCCTTAATTTCAGTAATGCATTCGTTAAAGAAAATATTACGTTAAGGAAATCACAAAAAACGCAAAACATGGAAACAATTTGTGGGATAAAACATTGGAGTAACTTCACTGTAATTGTCTGAGGTCACTACAGTATATTTAGGATGAAAAAAAATTAGACAAAAACAATGGACTACTAAATTTTCATTAGTAAGAATTCATGTATATTGTGTACTTTCAAATAGATTGGTTTTTCTGCTGCGGACTCAGCGACAAGTCTGAAACTGATTGAGGCTGGAATGAAGAAGGAGACATTGGCTTTGTTCGCTGTACCTATGATCCCAATACAGATTATGTTGCCGCTCATTATCAGCAAGTTTACCACTGGGCCCAGTCCAATGACAGTGTTCCTCAAGGCCATGCCAGTACGGTACGCAAACTCTATTATTATACCGGGTTTTCAAGTTCAAATTAATCAGTTCTTGTTTGTAAACAAACCTCCGATTTAGATTTTTCTCACTTTTTTTCAGCGATTGACAGTCATTCTTTTTTGAAGGTATTTTCTGGATTCTTCAAATTAATTTCATCATAAGCGGGTGTTTATATTTTTCGAAAATGTCTGAAAATGACCCGAAATAATTATTACCGGTACTTGAACATTTTTTGGCCAGGTAGAAAGAAAAAAAATCAATTTTATGTGTAGAGGCTTAACTTAAGGATCCCTGTATATCACTGCCAAAAACTGTAAAATCATTTCTGAAAAGAAAATCATACCTTGTGGGAGTTTTATGAGAAATAATTAAAAAAAAATATAATCAACAACAGCTAGTGTTCTGAATCTAAAAAAAACCCACTGGGCTAGACTGGAAATTGAACCCTGGACTTCAGACTGTAATACTATTACCCTAACCAGTTGAGCTACCTTGTTAACTGAAGTGTCCTGGCCCAACTCTGCTACAGTTATATCCAAACAGAAGTTGAGGGGAGGTAACTGTATATAGGAAAAACCACAGTGCAGGGGGACAGGGATCCTAAGGAAGTTAAGGGGAGGTTACTGTATATAGGGAAAACCACAGTACTGGTGGACAAGTATCCTTAATTCAGGGTTTTCACTTTCACATTTTTTTTTTAGAAATTTGTAAAAAATATACATAAAATACATTTGTTAATTATGTAAAATTAACAACTGGATTCCTTGTTTCAGACTGCTGTTTGGGTTGTGGTACGCTTTCATCGTGTGGCTGGCTTACCGTGTTCAGGCAACACCAGGGGAGTTTCCCGTCTATTTTTATCTTTTATTATTAGGAAGTTATGCTCTGCATCAGGTAAGTGTGCCTTTAATGTATTTCTAATACTTCAGAGTTGCGTACTTGCCAACCTTTTTCAATTTGTTCCTAGAAGAAACTATGTGTTCTGAATCTAAAAATGTCTACAAAGTACTTATAAAGAGTCCAATGTATGAAATAACATAAGATTGATAAGAAAATAAGTTTTAAGGCTCACCATACCACTTCCAAAAACTGTAACTGTGAATTACAACTGTGGAGCCGGTGATATGCTTGCACAAAAAAAGAAAATGATATTAAAAATAAAAAATCTGAAAAATTAAGTTTTCAATTGATTTTATGTTCTAATTTTTAATTTGCTCATGATGCATGTACTACAAAATGGATTCATCAATTGTATGATTTAAACAAAAGGTATTGAATTGATATTGAATGTTTATCTTTTACCTGTTTACTTTAATATAAAAACAATGGTGTGTGTTTCAGGTATCTCTGTATAGTATGTTTGTGGCCCAAATGGCTTTCCATGCCAAAATCAGTGACCCTGCCATTGGGGGCACATATATGACGTTACTCAACACCTTGGCCAATTTAGGTAAGTTTCCACGGTTTGGTGGGACTTCTGCCCTATTCGAGTGGGCAAAATTCTCGGTGTGGTAGTTAGGAAATTTTCAAAATTTGTCTTATTTGTTGTTTGTACAAAAAATGCTTCTTGGAAAAGGAAATAGATTTATTTGTTAAGTGTGTTTGATAAAAGACATTTCAAGAGTTATTTGCATTTGAAAATCACTAATATAAACATTTTAAATCACAATTTGATAGTTTCCTTAAAAATCTCCTGGTTTGAAATTTTCAAATGTATTTCTATTTTCATGTTAAATTTTGTCAAAACTGATCTGTACTCAAGATATTTATACATTTATATTTCAAATTTCAAATTTCAAATTTGGATCTTATAAGATCTGGAGAAAAAAGGTTTTATTTCAAATAAAACATTTTTTTTCAAAATTTCTTAATTATTTTGATTTAATTAAGATTAGTAAAGGAAAATCATTTAAAAGCATTGTAATTGAAATAAAATTTGAAAAATGAATGTAGTCGTGGGGTAAGTATATATTTACAATCATTTGGAGCTTGTTATTTGCTTGCACAAAAAATTATGATAATTTTCTTTTTCTTTATCATAAACTATTGCCCAGATCAATATAAAATGTTGAAGACACAGCTTAAAAATTGGTGGAGGAACAAACAAATGGTTTGTATTTGGCATCAATATCCAACACCCACAAAAGTAATTTTTCACTTTACAGCAAAGGACAAATCATAACTTTCGTTTATTAATAATTGCCTCCTTCAGCCACTATTCCAAGTGCCCGGAGTGCTAATTATGGCGAATACAGTATCCAGTATATATGTTCAAATCACAGGGGCAAGGCACAGACTAAACTAACCCCCACCTCCCTATATGCTTACATTTAGTGACACTATGTACATGTATAAGCATATAGGGGGTGGGGGCTAGTCTGTGCCTTGCCCCTGTGATTCAAATGATACGGGAGATGCCAAGTTTGAATATATCTGTGTTGTAGGGGGTAACTGGCCAGGAACCATGGCCCTTTGGATGATAGATGGTCTGACCTGGAAGGAATGTCAGGGCGGCCCTGGTGACTGTGGGTCACCTGCAGAAATTGAGGTAAATATATAAGCCACAATAATGAGAAGTAGATGAATACAGTAACATATTTATCCCCCCACCGCTCTTGCCCCTGTCCCCATTTTCCATTTCTCCTTACAGTGTTTTTCTTGGGGTTTTTTCGGGCCGATATTGGGCTCCATTCAAAATTGAATTTATTTCATATTTACGCCTTATTCCCAAAATTTGCACTTAACTGATGACATTTCCTTCCCAATCAGTATATTTTCTTCCCAAAACGAGACTTAAAGGCCACTGCCCAAATTAAACGGGAAAAAACTTCCTTCCTTTCCATGCACACGGTGTGTGCCCAGCAATAAGTCCCCCCTTCCACCCCGACCCACCCCCTCATTCTTTGTGTATTGTGGATGAGATTATTATTTTAACTTTGCCATTTGACAGGCACTCATGTGTTGTTTGTTTGACCCTTTCAGACTTGTACTACAGAGGGAGGAAGCTGTGTGACCAATATAGATGGCTATTTCATTGAATCCATTATCTGCGTCGTGATTGGCTTCTTATGGCTAATATGGCGACATCGGAAATTACGTCAATTGGACTCCCTCCCTCAGTCAGCATGGAAGTGTTCTTGATGTTTCATTTAGATATTATGTGTCTCTTCACTGCCTTCTGAACACGTAAACGTCACTGTCTGTGACTCTGGAACCAGATATTTCATTTCTGTAACTGTGTTCATAGGATGTCTGTTCAAACAATTCATGTATTAAAGCATTTTCTGTAAAGTTACATATACTGTGATGTTTTAATATTAGATCTCAGAGGTTGTTAAAAAATTGACAGACAATATTAGTGCCGAGCAGAAAAAATCAACTAAAACAGTAAGGTAGCATAATGGCGCTACATTCAATAAGTTCAGTACATAGACACACTCGCACTCATACAATCCCTAACTATAATTTTTCATATATGGAATTGTGTATTACCGGAGTTATGTGTGTACTAGTCGGCAGTGAGAGAGAGAGAGAGAGAGAGAGAGAGAGAGAGAGAGAGAGAGAGAGAGAGAGAGAGAGAGAGAGAGAGAGAGAGAGAGAGAGAGAGAGAGAGAGAGAGAGAGAGAGAGAGAGAGAGAGAGAGAGAGAGAGAGAGAGAGAGAGAGAGAGAGAGAGAGAGAGAGAGAGAGAGAGAGAGAGAGAGAGAGAGAGAGAGAGAGAGAGAGAGAGAGAGAGAGAGAGAGAGAGAGAGAGAGAGAGAGAGAGAGAGAGAGAGAGAGAGAGAGAGAGAGAGAGAGAGAGAGAGAGAGAGAGAGAGAGAGAGAAAGAGAGAAAGAGAGAGAAACATTACAAATACATGTGAGTATACCTGTAACTATTAGCCAATCAGAATGGAGGAACCCATGTAGATTTACGATTGAGTACACCCGATAAGGTATTTACAATTACAGGGTAGAACACTGCTTATGAAAGGACACAATAGTAAAGAGTGTTACAATTTATTACCTTTATGTAAAAAAAAAAAAGTAAAAATCATACCTGGAAGATTTTTCAAGGCCATTTGCTTACTTTCAAATTTTAAGAGGCACTGGTTATGAGTGGGCATTATTTTCTGAAATAAACATGGTGACGGTGTTTCTGGACTATAACAGTTGAGGCAAAGCTGTTTCAAATTCCTTTGAAATTTAATTTTCTACTCAAAACTCAGTGTGTGAAAGATCCAAATTTGTTTCCCCCAATAATTGAGAATTTGTAATGCAAATGTTTCGCTAACATGTCTCAGTATTTATGCGTGTATACTGTGACACAGAACAAGCACAGTTTGAATTTTCCATATTAATGTTCGACAATGAAGATGACTTTCAGTTTAAGGTTAAGGGTACCAATGACCCAGTTATAATCTTAAAGAAGAGTTCCACTTCAGACTTTTTTCATTTACTTGGAATAATCTCCCTTAGATATAGAAGCTAAAGCAACATAAAATGAGTTTTTTTTTAAGAGGGCTTAGAGTTACTTCCCTTTGAAAGATTTCAACTTTCTTTTTGATGCATTGCGTTTGCAATTCCCAGATGATAGCATTTGTAAATGTAAAATGGTGTTGGTCCCAAGTTTGACCCCAGGCCCTTGACATGCTGGGGGGTTATCTTTTCTTTTTTAATATTTTATTGAAAATTCCTTCCGAAAATGTATATATATATACTTGTTCCTTGTTAGTGTACCTGTATGGTTGTCGGCGAAATATGGCAATTTAAAACAAATGACACTAGAATTCTGCTAAATAAGCTTTATATCGTTGAACTGTGATGAAGGTAATGAAAATCCAATGAAAACTTTTAACGATTAAAATCCCCACCCTTCCAGAATTTTAGAATTTTAAAATACAAGTAGATGCATATATTTTACGTTTATGTTAGTTCTCAGAAAAAATATTAAAAGTTAATAGTTGTCATTGTGACATACCATAATCACCCTCCAAAAAGTTAAGGTATTAAACTTGTAGCTGTGTAGTATATAATACAATGTATAAATAAGTAGATTCTGTTAAAAGCCGAAGATTGTTTAATTTTATACAACACTTTTAGCAATAGCTGTATATACACCAGTTTATTTATGAGAGGATGTTGTTTATAAATCTATATAATTGATCAATCATATTTCAAATACAAATGTAACTTGAACCAACCTGTAGATTGACATAAAAATTATTTTAACTCATTCACCCCTGAAGACACATTTGAACTCTTCCAATTCAGATGTTGGAATAGTTCATTATGATATTTCAGGTGTGAATGAGTTAATTAAGGATCCCTGTACCACTGTCGAATAATGAAACTATGCATTCAAAACTTATTTTTCCGGCAGCACTATAGCTTTGATAAATCATTTTTGAAAAGAAAAATATACCTTGCTGGACATTTTTATGAAAACAAAATGGAGGGGAAACAAACAAAATATAATCAACAAACGTGTTCTGAGTGTAAAATATTCTGTATGGCCCGACTAGGATTTGAACCCTGGACTGAAGATTGTTATACCATCTCTATAACTGATTAAGCTACCTGGACGAAAGAAGTGTACAAGCTCAAACTTTGCTACAGTTATTCCATCTTTGCGTATTGCAGAGTTATCTTCTCTTGGTAGCAGGTGTTGATTGTTACGTCACTTGTTTGTGAGAGTAACGTCATCATTTTTTGAGAAAACAACGTAATTTTCTCGCACAAACAATGACGTAACAATCAATACCTGCTCCAAAGAGAAGATAACTCTGCATTACGCAAAGACAGAATATCCAAACGGATGTTAAGGGGAGGTAACTGTATGTAGGAAAAACGAGTGTAGTGGGACAGGGACCCTTAAGGTGAAACTGGGTTGTGAAGTTGAATTAGATCAATTGTTTCAACAGATGCTTCGTATTTCTAGAACTGAAATTGAAATAAAGAATTTACAAAAAGATAGTCATATCAATATACCTATATCTATTTTATGGTTTAGCTCTGCTATATTTCTATATCAATTTTATATGTAAACAAGAATAATGTACTCTTAATTCAAACTTTATATGGTTGAGACTTCTTTTTATCCTGATAACTTTTTCATTTCCTGAGCATGTTGATAAATAGAGAACTGCCAGGGTTGGGGGGCCCTGGGATCAATTCCCTGAGACAAATAGTGTCCTCTCGTACGAGGGCTTTCATAAACCTCACTCACTGTCACACGCTATCCATTTATTACTTTATTTGACGTTATGTTATAGTCATTAAGTTTTTGTGTTATTCATTTAAACATTGAACTGTTTTTGTATGGCATTTATGATCTATTTGAATGACTCAGCTTTGCAAGCAAACAACATAATGCACGCTAGTTATTTTCCTATTCTGAATAAAAACGGGTTTGTAGTAAGAATTCTTATCACAGAAAATTGACGCCTCTTATGATTTTTATAGGAATTTAACTCTGTAAAGGGACCTAACTGATATATTTTATTTTCACTTTTGTGCATATTTCATTTATATATTTTACAAACTTTCTACTTCAGTTTATCATTCTAAGCAGATGTGTTTTATATTTTTACTTTATGTAAAATTAATTTTTGAAAATGATGCAAAATTACCCCTTAGGTTGCAGTGTTCAATCTTATTGGGAATAGTATTTTTTCCACATTAAAAAACCCATGTATTTCTGCACGTTTTCTCTTATTATTATGTTAGATACTTTGTAACTCTTTATTAATAAACAGAAGAAAAACAATTGTAAAGATACCTTACAGGAGATTGTATTCAAGTGCTGAAGACTTCAAAAATATATATGCATCTTTATTATGTTACATTCCAACATCTTGAACTGAAATTTTATTTAGGGTTTCTCTGTAATCAACACAATAAAAAGAAAATATCTTTGGAATAAATGTTTTTAGAATTGATCCTATTCTTCATCGTGATTTATTGCTTGCCGGAAAATAATTTGGGGATTTTTTATAATATAGTCACAACTCTGTCCGTCCATCCAGGGCCATAACTTCGGACTTGGAATATGTGCAGGATGGCCAGGCCACAGGTGTGTCATGTACCACATTTTGATCTGTGTGCCAAAAGTCAAGGTCACAATGAGGTTAAAGGTCAAATACATTGTCCAGGTGATATCCTAACTTGCTAATCTAGATGGCTTTATGAAATTATTGGGTCTAAATGCCCAAGGTCAAGCAAGGTCAAATGGAGATCATTGGTCAAATTCATCGTTTAAGAGCTAATTTACTCATAACTTATTAAAAATGACTCAATAGAATTTCAGGGAAACATGCAGGATGTGGAAGGCGGTGTGGCATGTACATTTTTTTTGCAACTGGGTCTGTTTGCCTAAGGTCAATGTCACATTTAGGTCAGAGGTCATATTCATTGTCCAGGAACATAACATCTTACCCGAAAATATCTGAATAAAATCTTCAAGATATATGTAGGATGGATAGGTGATATATCCCATAGCCAATTGGGTCTGTTCATGGTCAAGTACAAGTATGAAGGTCAAATATAAAATTAATTTTCTTGGCCATAACATCTGACTGAAGATTAGCTTGATGAAATTTTATAGAAATATATAAAATGAGAAAAGAAATGTGTTGCATACAATTTAGGAGTCTGTGTGTCCAATGTCAGATTCTCAATAAATTCAAAGGTCAAAGATTCAAATGAAACGCATAGTATTACTGAATTCCTTTCCTTTTGTGGATAAATAATGAAACCTTGACAAAGCTGGTTATGGGGGTGGGAGGGGGCAAACTTGTTATTCATAATGGTACAATTATAATTAAGCTAGCAGACAAGTTTGAACATCCTTCTAATGAAACCTTCATTTTCCTTGTAAACAACTGTTAGTCTGCTAAGTTGGTCATCAGACTAGTGAAATATTACACTCCCAACCCGACACTGCCTTGCATACTATTGAATCTAATCTTTTTCTTATGATGTATGTACTGATAGAAAAGCATTTCCTCTAATTGTGTACAAACTGAAGTTTTAATTTCGTGATTCTAATATACTTGTTTTTATGTATCAATTTTGATTAGGATTTCCTACCTGAAGAGGATAAGGTTTTATTTATAAACGACAGAAAAATAAAACAGTCAATTTCAATGCATTTTTAACTTAATTGATATATAAAGTGCTTGGCTAAGTAAACCAAGATTGAGAGGTATATCATATTGACACTTCTTTTTATGCGACCTATTTCAGCTCAAAATTGTTTTAGAAAATTGTACCCACTGATCCCACTAATATGTTAAATTTGAAGAATCCTTTGAATATAAACTATCTCAATATGAAAAAAGGTATAACTAAGCTTAATCTCATCTTCCATTTTGAAAAAAATATACATCAACAAGTTATTTATTATTTTTCTACAATTCGGAGTTACAGAAAAGTGATAAATAATTCAACAATCACTCTTTGTACAGCTTCCATTTAAAATCATTCCAAGTCAATATAAATTCAGGTATTTCGTACCTTCCTCAAAGAAAAGATAACTCCAATTTAGAACTCTTTACCGTGGAGATAAAAATATTATTTTGCGGGAAGAAAGTATTCAGAAAATGGCAGACAAAAAAAGAACGAAGCTGAGTTTGAAGCGTAAAACGATATCTAACAAGTCGTTACTGTTTAACTCGATTGGACAGAGAAAAGAGTCGTTGCTCTCTAATGTCAACGTCAAAGATCCAGAAAATGTCATAGTAAACTTGTCATCAGATTCAGAGACTGACGGCGACTTGACAGATCACCAAAGTTTGCAACCCAACAAACGTCCAAGGTTCAGTGAAGTACCAACGCATTCCGATAGTCATGAACAGAAGGCAAGACCGATTCAACTCAAGCCCGAAAGATTGCCAAGGTAACACATACAAACTAATTATAATAGAACCTTTCCACACCTTGGGGGTAAGACCGAAAAATATTGACCCGAGGGCCAAACATTTTAGATTAATTATAATCCCGAAGGTTACCAAGGTGTGGAATTTTTTTTCTCCCTTTCATGTCAAGTATACTGATAATTCCATTAAACACAGGCGTTAGTTGCATGATTTTCCAGCAATTCAGACTATTTTGAATGACCAGTACACTGCCGATTGAGCTACATAGCTATACAGACCTAGCATATAGCTATATTCGCCTGTAAGTTATAGCAGTATATTGAGCTATATTGTCTCAGATTTCAATTTTCATTAAATTTCATTAAAGTAAAGTCGCATAAAACAATAAGGTTTTCCAAAAAAATGTCTTTCTCAAGCCCGAAATGTTATTTAATGATGACTACAAAAGCATACATTTAGATGTTTATTTTCATTTTTCATAAATGTGAAATTTTCGATTTTTTTACATCATTATTTTTTTTTAAAAGGAATACTAATGTAGTGGAACTGGACTGGGTCAATCGTCGGCGACCAGATAGCTCAATTGGTTGAGCGTCCGTCTAGAGTTTGAAGGGTCCCGGGTTCGAACCCCGTTCTGGCTCTCCTGTTACATTTGGCGCCCAACGAAATATACCCACAGAAGGTGGTATAGGGTCTCGTGTGTCTTCAGGGTCGAAGACTTTGTTAAAGGAGGGATGAATGTAGCGGAACTGAACTGGGTCGATCGTCGTCGACCAGATAGCATCATTGGTTGAGCGTCCGTCTAGAGTTCGGAGGGTCCCAGGTTCAAACTCCGGTCTGGCCTTGCATTTTTGCTCTCCTGTAACACTTATATCTAATGTCTTTTGTTATCAACCTAAATGATAAAATCTTCTTATTAAAGCGACTTTGTTTCGTTTTCCTTAAAAAAGAAAATCACATGAAAAGAGCTCAAAAGACCTATTTCAGATAGGTCAATAGAGCTATTATAGGTCTTTACAGCTGTATAGCTCAATCTGCAGAGTGTACTGAACCTGATGATGTTAATGTGAGTATTGACGTCATGCACATATGCATACATTTATTTAGTGAAAATGGGATTGCTGAAAAGTATTAAATGAGGTAATTTTTAGTTTCAATGTTTTAAAAGTATACACATATGTATAAAACAAGTCACGTTACTAAATATATTCACTATCATTTTAAGTACAGGTAAAATATCATATTAACATCAAAAAGGCAGGCCTCTTGTTGAATTATTTCATGCAGTTGTTTAAATAAAATTAACATTGATATATCTTTTTCAGTGAAACCTCAAAGTCATGTCTCTTTCTTGATGTTGATGAAGATCTGCGTAAGCTGAGGATGATGTTTTTAAAGCTGCAAAAACCAAGAATTAATGTCAGAACCCTGTCTGACCTGCCTGACTTCACAAAAACACAGGTATTTCACATACATGGAACTTTAAAAGAAATATGAATATATACATTTACTATATTAAGTACATGTTTAAGGAGAATTTATATTGCCTTTCATCATAGATCTATTTTAATACTAAATAAATATCTGTACCAGAGGAATACCATTTAAAATTTCAAACTCAATGAAATTGATGTTTTATGATGAAAGTTGACGTACAGGCTTGTCCGGTTGGAAAGTGGATAAAGCACTTGCCGTTCACTGAGACAGCCTATGTTTGATTCTTAGATTGGGCGTAAAAAGGTCTGCAGGTCACCTGTTTGTCTTTGGCTAATTCCTGTGGTTTCCTCAAATATCAAGACCCCTGTACACAATGTCAACAAGCGTGATTAATATCAATTAAAGTTATTTCATGATTGTTGTACAATGAATAAAATTTATTATCACTTCTAAAGTTGACATGTTATGCTTTATTGAATAAGTAGATGAAAATTTAATTTAATTTTTGTAGAATGTCCAGGCTCCGGAATCAGATAAGCATAGCCAAGAAAGTACAGAGTTATCTCCTCTTCCTCCAATGTGTAAATGGTGTTTACGAAGAAAACCAACAGACTACAGTAAACTGTATAGTGACATAATACGACAGGAACTACAGCCTTCAATGGCAGAGAGGTCTGTAGGTGTACACCAGAGGGCGCTGCAGTCTTCTGTCAAGGGAGATAACTATATTCGTACAGGAAAAATATATATGGAAAAAGGAGGGAAATCTGTTCAAAAAGGATACACATGTGCAGAAAAAGAAGAAGCAGCTATGCAAGCAAGAAACACAAATTTTAAAAGTGAGGAAAATTTATTTCCAAAAAGCAATATTAAGTTGACTTCAGTGCTTGATAATCCAACCAGTGCAGAAAATAACCGCAAGGGAAAAGTAGCACATTCTTTACACAGTTCTGTACATCGAGAAAACAGGAGCATGATAGGGTGTGATAAGTCTTCATCTTTCGGAAAACAAACAAGCAGTGTAAAGATGCAAGCAGGCAGTATAAAGACACAACCTGGCAGTGTAGCGGCACAATCCAGCAATATGTATGCACAGTCACAAGCAGGGGGCGTAAAGACACAGAAAGAAAAACATTTGGTACCATCACCATATAGAAAGGTTGTTCAATCTGTTGAAAGAAAAAATAGCAACAAACAAGATGATGTTATTATTGGTGTAACACCTTATCGGACAGACAGGAAAAATACCAACAATTCACTTCAACAGTCTGTAACGGTCAACAAAGCCGTCCCAACTATTCAACCTACTGAAAGTGTCGGTAATAAACCAAAACACCCAAAAACCAATGAAAACAAGCCTGTTTTCCAAGGCAGGAGCACTGTGAATTTGGACACAGAAAAATCTGATATATCAAAGCAAGTATCAGAAAGCAGTGCTGTGCAGTGCTGCCCTCTATGTCAGACAACCTTTGAAAAAGGGTAGGTAAATCAGAAGTTTGTTGCAGCTATTGAATTTAAATACGTCCCTTTTTTTTAATTCCAATATATCACAGTTTATATAGATTTCTTTTGAAAGAAGCAATAAATGTGTCATGCTGTCTCTTAGAACAGAGACATATAAAGTCATAGTAGTATAAACGTCTCTGCTTAGAACAAGAAGAGTTTATTGTACATTGTCTCCCTGTGTATGGTCAACTAAAATGCAGCTTATTGATATATTCATTACAAGTGTGCAACTACCGGATTAATAGTGGTAGATCTGAGGTATACTAATATAAAGTATACCATTTGATTGGAAAGTAGTTTTAGCTTATAATGGTTGATAATTCAGCATGATTAACCTTTCACCACTGTAGACCGTAATGGACTCATCCAGATCAATGCATGATAGAGTCTACTAAAGTTACATATGGGTGAAAGGGTTAACCACGTGAGTGGGAACAGCAGCAAAAAGCCTAACAATGAATAGTTAGTTGTAATTAGGTGCAAGAAAACTGTAAGAGTTACCTCCCTTAGTACATGTGCAAGAAAACTGTAAGAGTTACCTCCCTTAGTACATATGCTGTCACTTAATAACTGAATTGTTGGCTCATTGGTATAAAGCCCCAAGATATAAAATGAATAAGGATTAACCATAAATATGGGAATTAGCATATCATTGTATCTTTCAAGTGTCTGTATGTGAGCACAGGTAAGGTACATATTTGAGCTCATTGGTTTAACTAATATAAGTTTTCCCACATATTGATTCTTTAAATATTAAATATAAACTTAACACCAAAAGCCACTATACATTTGACCCAACTGTTGTAGTCCCTGTGGTTTTGAAGTTTTTCCCTGGTGTTTTATATGTCTGATTTGTTTTTCAGGACAACACAAATGGACATTGATGGACATATTGCTGTCTGTCTGTCTATGTCTGGGGATGATATAACTTGGTGAGTCATAGGAACATGTCTTGTCTGTCTGTCCTTTTGTCCAGTGCTAAGGGTGATGTGACATTTTGAAACAGGCTGTCTGTGTGTCCATCTGTCTACTGCCAGGGATGGTGTGACCTTGTAAAGCAGGCTGTTTGTCCAAATTCTGTCTAGTGCTAGGAATTATGTGAACTTGTAAAGCAGGCTGTCTGTCTGTCCATCTGTCTAGTGCCAGGAATGATGTGAACTTGTAAAGCAGACAGTCTGTCTGTCCATCTGTCTACCTCCAGGAATGATGTGAACTTGTAAAGCAGGCTGTCTGTCTGTCCATCTGTCTACCTACAGGAATGATGTGAACTTGTAAAGCAGGCTGTTTGTCCAAATTCTGTCTAGTGCTAGGAATTATGTGAACTTGTGAAGCAGTCTGTCTGTCTGTCCATCTGTCTACCTCCAGGAATGATGTGAACTTGTAAAGCAGGCTGTCTGTCTGTCCATCTGTCCACCTACAGGAATGATGTGAACTTGTAAAGCAGGCTGTTTGTCCAAATTCTGTCTAGTGCTAGGAATTATGTGAACTTGTGAAGCAGTCTGTCTGTCCATCTGTCCACCTCCAGGAATGATGTGAACTTGTAAAGCAGGCTGTCTGTCTGTCCATCTGTCCACCTTCATGGATGATGTGACCTTATAAAGCAGGCTGGCTGTCTGTTTGTCTGTCAAGCTCCAGGGATGACGGTACCTTATAAAGGAGGCTGTCTGTCCAATGCCAGGGATGATGTGGCATTATGAGACAGACTATCTGTCCCCAAAATATTACATGTTCAACTATAGTATGTGGAGTTAGAATTGGAAAATAAATTCATATGTAAGAAAATGTATTTGCTTTTTTGTTATTAGTGGAACTATAAGATTTTGTGCCGGATGAACCTTGTTGATCAACAGTGGGAGGAGGAATGTCCTTGCAACATCTCAGTTAACCCAATCACCCCTAAAGTCACATTTGAACCTCACCAAATCAAAGACAGGGCAAGTCCAGTTTAAACATGTAGGGTTAAATGAGTTATTATGAAGACAGGTGCCCAGGGAGGCACCACTGACATAGCAGGTAGGAGATAAGGAGAAGATGGAGGTCCAAAGTATCTCAATGATAGGAGCAGATAAATTCTGATTTCTTCAGTCTTCAAAAATCTGGGTTCTGCACTCCTTTAATACTGTATACCGGGAAATGTTCACTGCAGTTTAATATTTGCCTTTTTCGCCACATAAAATAAGGGCGAATTTATAATTACAGCAAAAATTTGTAAACAATATACATTGTAATTTAATGTGAAGGGCAAATTTAACATAGGGCGGAAATGGATTTTACAGTCAAAGGGCGAACATTTATCGGCATACAGTATGTCTTGACAAAATCCAATGCTCTTTATGCGACACCTTGCAGATGATACATATGCAAGACCACACACTTGTGTTTTTCTAACGAATCAGAAAGCGCAAGATTATTGCGCGGACGAATATATTCAAGAGTGTGCGGAATGAGTGCTTTCTGATTTGTTAAAAGTGTGTGGTCTTGCTTTTATCGCATATTTGGTAGAGATCGATACAAAGATTTTTATGAACTTTGATATTTTTTTGGAAATACTGGGAACTTTTCAGAAAAGTTCGCCAGGTCGGGATTCCCATAAAAAGTAGTTCCGGCTTGTATGGTGATACAACATCTTGTATCACCCATGTGTGATACAAACCGACAGAAAACATCAACAGAAAATTGTTGTATTACTATTGTAAGATTACATAGGTATGTGATAAAAAAATAGACTAGTCTGATGTGTTTAATGAAGACCAACGCAATTATGCAGGAACATAACCAACATTGAAATTGGGTGTTGAAGAACAATGGTTAAGTCACACTGATAAAAACATCGAGTTATGAGATCAATTTTAATCAGTGGAAAAGTCATAAAGCCACACTTCATTGGAAAAGTCATAAAGCCACACTTCAGTGGAAAAGTCATAAAGCCACATTTCAGTTGAAAAGTAATGAGGACAACATTGATGTTGAAGTTATCAGTCATCATTGAGGGTTACGGTGATAAAGTCAACATTGATCTTGCAGTTATCAGTCATCATTGAGGGATATGGTGATAAAGTCAACATTGACGTTGAAGTTATCAGTCATCATTAAAGGTTATAGTAATAATGAAGTTATCAGTCATCATTGAGGGATATGGTGATAAAGTCAACATTTATGTTGAAGTTATCAGTCATTGACGGTTATGGTAATAAAGTCAACATAGATGTTGAAGTTATCAGTCTTCATTGAGGGTTATGGTGCTAAAGTCAACATTGATGTTGAAGTCATCAGTCATCATTGACGGTTATGGTGATCAAGTCAACATCGATGTTGAAGTTATCAGTCATCATTGACGGTTATGGTGATCAAGTCAACATTGATGTTGAAGTTATCAGTCATTGACGGTTATGGTGATAAAGTCAACATAGATGTTGAAGTTATCAGTCTTCATTGAGGGTTATGGTGATAAAGTCAACATTGATGTTGAAGTTATCAGTCATTGAGGGTTAAGGTGATAAAGTCAACATTGATGTTGAAGTCATCAGTCATCGTTTAGGGTTATGGTTATAAAGACAACATTGATGTTAAAGTTATCAGTCATCGTTGAGGATTAGTGTAATAAAGTCAGCATTGATGTTGAAGTTATCAGTCATTGAGTGTTAAGGTGATAAAGTCAACATTGATATTGAAGTTATCAGTCATCATTGAGGGTTACAGTAATAAAGTCAACTTTGATGTTGAAGTTATCAGTCGTCATTGAGGGCAACGGTGATAAAGTCAGCATTGATGTTGAAGTTATCAGTCATCGTTGAGGGTTACGGTCATAAAGTCAACATTGATGTTGAAGTCATCAGTCATCATTTAGGGTTATGGTTATAAAGACAACATTGATGGTGAAGTCATCAGTCATCGTTTAGGGTTATGTTATAAAGACAACATTGATGTTGAACTTATCAGTCATCATTGACGGTTATGGTGATAAAGTCAACATAGATGTTGAAGTTATCAGTCTTCATTGAGGGTTATGGTGATAAAGTCAACGTTGATGTTGAAGTTATCAGTCATCATTGTGGGTTATGGTGATAAAGTCAACATTGATGTTGCAGTTATCAGTCATCATTGAGGGTTACAGTAATAAAGTCAACTTTGATGTTGAAGTTATCAGTCGTCATTGAGGGCAACGGTGATAAAGTCAGCATTGATGTTGAAGTTATCAGTCATCGTTTAGGGTTATGGTTATAAAGCCAACATTGATGTTGAAGTTATCAGTTATCATTGAGGGTTATGATAATAAAGTCAACATTGATGTTGAATTTATCAGTCATCGTTGAGGATTATGGTAATAAAGTCAACATTGATGTTAAAGTTATCAGTCATCATTGAGGGTTACGGTGATAAAGTCACCATTGATGTTGAAGTTATCAGTCATTGACGGTTATGGTTATAAAGTCAACATTGATGTTGAAGTAATCAGTCATCATCGAGGGTTATGGTAATAAAGTCAACTTTGATGTTGAAGTTATCAGTCGTCATTGAGGGCAACGGTGATAAAGTCAGCATTGATGTTGAAGTTATCAGTCATCATCGAGGGGTATGGTGATAAAGACAACATTGATGTTGAAGTTATCAGTCGTCATTGAGGGTAACGGTGATAAAGTCAGCATTGATGTTGAAGTTATCAGTCATCATTGACGGTTATGGTGATAAAGTCAACATAGATGTTTAAGTTATCAGTCTTCATTGAGGGTTATGGTGATAAAGTCAACGTTGATGTTGAAGTTATCAGTCATCATCGAGGGTTATGGTGATAAAGACAACATTGATGTTGAAGTCATCAGTCATCGTTTAGGGTTATGGTGATAAAGTCAACATTGATGTTGAAGTTATCAGTCATCATCGAGGGTTATGGTAATAAAGTCAACATAAAGTTGAAGTTATCAGTCATCATTAAAGGTTATAGTAATAAAGTCAACAATGAAGCGATACAGTAATTAAACTAGATTGGTGTATAATAAGGTCAATATTGATGTAGAATAGTTCGTCAACATTAATAAGGTCAAGACCAATATGCAATGGTAATATGATCTTCATTAATCTGTGGAAATCAGGTCAACTTTGGTGTTGAAGTTATAACGTAAACCTTCCTGTGGAATGGCAACGCCAACACTGATGTTAATCAATAGTAAGGTCAACATGATTTGTAGCAGCAATAATATCAACACTTATATTGATTAATGTCAACATTTATAATGAGTATATTGATATGGATTAATGTCAAAACTGTTATTGAATAATGTCAAAACTGATATGGAATAATGTCAAAACTGATATGGAATAATGTCCCCATGAATAATGTCAACACTGAAATTGATTAATGTCCACATGATTAATGTCAACACTGATATTGAATTATGTCAAAATTAATATTGAATAATGTCAACACTTATATCGAGTGATGTCAAGACCAATATCGAATAATGTCAAAACTAATATCAAATGTCACCACTGATATCATATGTCACCACTGATATTGAATAATGTCCAATCTAATTAAAATTATATCTTCACATCGCTCCCGTTTACTGATATGTCGCGTTGAAGATCTAACAACATCCCATAGAGGGCCACGTCAGAGGTCAACATGAATGCATTATCGCATTTATAACAAGCCAATCAAAACGCGACATAACTCTTTCATTCAACCAATCAGAAAGCAGGACCTGTAGCATTTATTGCAGACACCTCGTAGCCCAAAATCCATGTCATTGGTTAATTTTAGTTTCAGGTTGTTAAACTTTTAATGACAACATCACCAGAAGAGGAAGTCTCCCTTATTTCAAAGCAAAATCCACAAATTCTACAAACGTTGTCTTGTAGATAGACACGGCATGGTGTCATGGGCGCCGCCATTTTCGATGCTCATTTGACACCTCTCGGTCTTTTATCATAGCAAGTGTGTTCCGAAATCATTACATCATCACTTACAGAAATGCGTAAGCTCTCATCTGATTGGTTAATGCAAAGGTCGCTTGAACATGACCCTCTACGGGAAGTTGCTAGATCTTCAACGCGACATATCAGTAAACGGGAGCGATGTGAAGATATAATTTTAGTTAGATTGAATAATGTCAACACCGATATTGATTAATGTAAACACTGATATTGAATAATGTCAACACTGATATTGATTAATGTCAACACTGATATTATATAATGTCAACACTGATATTGAATAATCTCAACACTGATAGTGATTAATGTCAACACTGATATTGAATAATGTCAACACTGATATTGATTAATGTCAACACTGTGAAACTAATTTCATTATTGCTTATGTGGAAGAGTTGTTAGGTAAACATTGATGTGAAATAATTTTAAGGTCGAATGTGAATAAGATGGAGGTTAAATCAGAGGTCACAAATTATTTTCATGGTCATCAGGTCAGTCTGTCTTGGTTCATCAACATATTTAAACTATTGATAATGGTTTATAATGCATGAGCAAAAACTCTTGTAAGAGATCAAACAAGTGGATCAGTTGTCTGTAATATGAAAAGGCCAACAAATTTTGTTTTTCATAACAGGCAATTTATTTAAAATAATGTCAGTTTTGGTGGAAAACATGGCGTCCATATACCAGTTTTAACAAATCAAACGAAATACACTTTGTAACACAGAACATGTAACACACACCGACAGCATTGCCATGGATATAGGGAACTCTACCTAACACATCGGCAGCTTGCGGCCAGATTCAGAAAAAAAAAAAATTGTCTACAAATGAAAAATTCAAAATTTTCCGATTCTTTCATTTCGTCATAACATATATTTAAAACAAAAATAATAGAGCACTGTTTAAATTTATTATACACAGGAAAGTCTACTAAAGATTTATACACTCAGTATGTTATTGTTCTGAAGAATATCATACAGATATTCTATCAAATATATTTAAATTAATTTAATCAGCAAAAACTAATCAACCCAACATCAGTTTCCATACCAGATGGAGAAAAAACATTAGGAATCTTGACTGACCTTTTGTCATTTACATGGTTTTGAAATCAGTTTTATATAAATGGTGCTTACTTTCACATAACAGAGGTGACCTTTCTCATCGCATATATATACATCGCAACATATATATATATATATTGATATTGCACTGCCTAATACCAGAGGTTGAATGTCACAGAAAGGTCACTCGGATATATATGAAAATTTACACGAAAATAATGAACATTTAAAGTCATGAGCTATAATTTCAACCCCAGCTGGACTACACCTAATCCATGTGGTTGTGGTTTTGATGAAATATGTAAGTATATAATGCACCAATAAAATAGGTTTCTTTCTGAGAATTGGTTCCAATTTTCCATACGAATTGACAGGTTTTCTGTGAGGTAATTACATACGAGTGGAAAGACAAGGAAGAAACAGAAGGAAAGCACATTTTCTGACGATAGACCTGCCTAAGGGGATCACAAGGTTATAACTGGAGGTATATCGCTATATAACAGAGGAAAGACACGTAACCACAGTAACAATCTACGGAACGACAAGGCGCCTGTCAGGGTGTAACTATACAAAGGAGAATGCGTGTGCGTTGTGCTTTTTCAATGTTCTTATGATGTTAATTACTTGTTTAAAAAAATAAAACAAATTAAGAAATATTATATACAACAGGGGAAACACCGGGCATCACCAACGCATGCTATCAGCTTATAATAATTACCATGTCCTTCACCTCGGCCAATTTGTGGCTCGAGGTCATGGAGTCAAACAAACAAAATCCTACTACAAGGAAAGAAAAAAATGTAATTCTTGAAAATAAATAATTAACAAAGTCACGTCACCGGAAAGAGCTAGCCCTATTCTACTCAGCATTACAGAGAAAACCGGTAACCGTGGCAACCAAGGGAAGCCTCGATCTGAACAGAAAACATGGCACTAAATGTTTTATACCGGGAAACACCTAATAATCGCCTTTTAGTGAGGAAGATATTCTGTCCGACCGTCCACAATAACTCTCTGCCATAACTTTTTTTTCACTGTCTCATTTACACTTAAAAAATCTGTCAAAAATGGACAGAAATTTACACTTGTACATACATTACAAATGACACTTTAACATTAAAAATTTGCACAAACTCTCATCAACAGTTTTACAAACACACTGAACACATAGCTCACAAGACAAATATTGAATCAAATTCAATAGTCCCATCTTAATTTTATAATTGTAATCAAATGATACAATGACAATTCTGAACAACTTTTAGGTTTATCAAACTCATCAATTGATTCATCCAATCAAACTTGTCAATAAGCACAAAGATTTAAACTTATTTGATAAGTTCGACCAGACCATCAGATAAGTTCCTCCTAACCAAACAATTAGTTCAAGATCAGTCAATTTTATATTTCAAGACCAACCAATTTATTCGCGCTATCCAACTGCGTTATTTTCTACAAAATAATTCACATTTGTAATTCCTTCATCCCTGAAATTTTAGTTTTCCAAAAAAACAAATACGTTAATTTCCTGCCTTTTCCATTAAAAATACATAAATTTGACAAAAGCTAAGGATTCACTTTGACTTTAGAGCCAGCATTTACTCGTACAACACTTCGCTATTCACACTCATTTCCATACAACACCTCTGACACAGATTCAAACAACAGTCTGATACACACTTACAATGAAAGCTAGCCTACAACACTTGTTCATACCTCAGATCCACAGATCAACAATCACAGCATCAAAACTGACATGGAGCCACTCGGTCAACTTACAAACAAACACACGGTCTTCCTGCACCCCTTGTGACGTGGCAGAAGTGTCCACATTTATATCTTTTAATTTACCTCGTCTTGGTAAAAGGTCAAAGGTGTACATGGTCAACTAAACAAAGCATAATTAGTGCATCAAGCAATTAATATTACAGTGCATTATACATGAATCATAACTTATATCAAATTATTTAAACAAATCATAAATCAGCAGAGATCAAAACACGTCAGCATACAAGTTGCATATTATGTGTCTAAGGTGTGAAATAATTTAATGGTGAACCTTTGAGAATTTGATGATGACCTCAAAATGTACAAATGTGTATATTATTGAGACAACCAAATATATATTCAATAATTTCTTTTCTGAAACCAAATCAAAATGGTTGATATTTGATATAGGATATTTGGTACAGAATTACAATGAAAATGGCAGAGAATTAAATTCAATTTCAGAGAGAGAAAAAAAGTAACATGTCCGATGTTAACAATAAATACAAATTCCTCCACAATGTTTGTCAACATAATTTGCTGCAACAAGCATTAAAGTGCATATATGGCAAAATAAAAAACATCAATCTTGCTGTCATATATGATAGTGTGATGACGGGACAGACAGTACAAATATTCAAGCCACTAGTATAAAAACATAGCATGATGTTATACATTTCTGACACCCTCACTTCAGAAATATTTTATATTATCTTTAGAAATAATATTTTCTTATGAATAATATTCTATTTAAATTACCCAGATTGATAATTTGCCGATCAAAACTTTCATATTTCTCCTTTTAACATATACAATGTTTTCCGTTTCCTCGAATTGAATTTCTGTAATTCCCGAAAAAAAAATAGATGCAAGAATTATATAACACAGTTCCATCATGTAACTGGCCACACACAATAAGTTTTGAAGGATCGTAAATGAACATCACACAGCAGTAGAACAAGGGAGACAACTGGATTGAAGTTCCCTATATAGAAGGTACAGAAGTACAGACGCACCTATACGTTTTAGCTCTCATGATAATCATTTAAGATTTGTTCTTCAATAAAGCTTCTCCAAAAAAACAACTCCTTTGTGCAAAATTCCATGTAATTTTGCATTTCTTGCACATTAAGTTTTTATCCTTGCGCTGAATTCTCGTGAAAATATTTTTTTCTATAATTTTATATATCAGCTTTCTGAATTTCTCTAACTTGGTTTCTCTTATGAAAAAAACCAAACTTGAGTCTGATTAAAAAACAAAATAGAGATTTTGAACAGATTGGGTAAAAAATCTGCAAAAATCTTCTGATCATTTTTTAGGTTGCGCCAGATACGGATGTACTTCATATTGATCTAAATATGACAAAAACAGAATTTCTGTGAAGAAAACAAATCAAGCCACAAGCTTACAAACAAGCTGGCAAACGTTAGTAATAATTATGGACTTCTGATAGCTCAATGCTATAGAATAGGTCACAGACCTCACCTGTTACAAGCAAAATATGACATGGAAAATGCCCTATATATAGCAAGACAGTAGTTACTCCTGTACTTAGCCGGGTTTTTTTGGGGATATGATTTTTTTCATCTAATTTATTCAAATATTCTAATTTTTTACACAATACACAAAACACCTTTTGGCAAAAGTGCTGGGAATAACTACATCTCATTTTAAAAAACATCTTTTGATTTGGTTCCTAGTAACAAACACTAACGATCCAAAATACACAGACAAAATATGAATCTTGTCCAATAAATCAATAGTTTCCATGAATAAACCACTTTAATAATAGATTTTGTCACTATCCTTTGGGATGGGGATGGGGGAGGGGGTTGATGTTCAATTTGTAATAGTGACTGATACTGGAGAGGGAAAACAAGACATATTTGATATTTGTCAAAATGAATTGGTTTTACGGTAATAAATTTCATGATCGAGACATTTCAATGAATTGGTTGGCAGTCAATAACAGGACAGCTTTTTTCTATTTTGAAAAATGTATACACTGAATTTGAGAACATACACAGACTATGATGCACAATTCCATGAAGATAGATGATGACAATGATGATGATGAGATTAAATGTGATTATATGACATATTTATATCTAATTATATGGAACGTGAAAGTGACCATCAACTTTCTCTATGGATGAGATAAATATATATATATATATATAATATGTCGGGCGATCAGTGATTCAATCACCTTCTGCCCTCACAACAAGCACTTCAGATATACAATAATAAAAAACAAAAGCTTCAGTGCGCAAGTTACGACAAGTCTTCTGCCACAGACACACTGGTGCTGTATTGATTGTGAATGGGGGGACCTTGTATGTACGCCAGCCAGCCGACCGACGAGGCGTCATGTGGAGGAGAAATCAATAAAGACACGGCTAGGCTTCTAGTGATATTACCTCATAATCTGCCAGATTATAACTGTTCTCAAACCTTGCCTCCTCCGGGAAAGGCTTAAAACTTTTCTATCAAATTTGGCATGGTATTCAGTTTAAAAAAAATCCTTTTTCCTTTCTAAAATGACAATTAAATCCTAATTCCAAAACCATACTGAATTCTCAAACAATGTTCAAAATACATACTGAATTCTGAAAGCCTTTTTTTTTTCAATTTCTATAACTCATTTAAAATTGAAATGAGAAAAAGGTTTGAAAGGTCCTTTTCCTTAAGGTTATACTTGCAATAACCGAACTCCAGTTAAAATTACTAATATTATCTTATATATGAGGGGACCGAGATCAACCAATTACGTCGTAGTTTGTACATGTAGGATTAGATAATTTTGCCCATTATCTTAAGATTGCAGTGCACGTGCCACAGACATGAAACAGGGAGGACTTATTATAATTATTCACCATTCAGATTATGTTGCAGAAAACAGAAAACTATTAAGTGATTTAGTGGCGAGTGCTAGTTTTCTACTATTGTTTTTGAAAAGGGGAGGGGTCTGTTTATCTCGAGTGTGGAATGGCACAAGACTTGTATAACTGGTAACATGAATAACAGTATAGCCCCTCCAGCGCTGAGTGTCGTAAAATATCACAACAGGTGCCCTTGTGATGGTGTAGTGTGGGCCGACGGGATGCATGCATGATCGATAACAGTTAAAAAAGCTAAAACTTTCTAGTGATGTAATAGCAAGTTTTGTCCATGCAAAACACAACTTTCTTCATTGCAAAAAAAATAAATAATAATAACAAAAACAATTTCCTCTCTTGAACGAGAAAAAAATACATTTCTTGACACTATTATCACCCTGGTTTGCTTTTGAACAACCAATCAGATTGTGTATTACAAGCCCTAAACTACTTATATATCCTCTCTCTGATTGGCTGACAGAAGTTGCACAATTTTTAACATGTCGATGTTCACTTCTGTAAAAATCTAGCTTTCTCTACACTGCAAGTCAGCTTACTTTGTTGGAGTAGTTGCCAGTAAACCCTGAACACATTCACCCCCGAAATTCCATAATGATCTATTCCAACCATTAAATTGGAAGAGTTCAAATGGGTCTTCAGGGGTGAATTAGTTAAGTTACACATCTTTAAGGATTTCTGCCTCAACCTTGGTTTGAAACGAGCAGGACTGTTAATATGACCAGCTGCCTTGCAATGGAAGAGAAGTTCATTGTAGTTGCTGCCATGGGGAAGTAACTCTTGCATTCCCCAGATAAGGAGGAGTTAACTCCTAATTCCCCGTTGTTCTGCGACATATAAAACACAGTAAAATAATAACCCACTGACCATTTCCAGGGGAAGCTGGCTACAGTGCTAGTAAAAATTAACCCTCCCAGTCAAATCAGTTCACTCCTGATAATATAAAACATTTTGTTACTTGATCTTTAGCCATCCAACCTCGTAAAAATCTTACTCATTCTCCTCTGAACCCTAAACAATAGATGGAATAGCAAGAATCAATGAAATGGGATATTTCCTTTACACACAGATAGGAATGAAAAGATTTGACAAATGGAGACAACCCATGATGAGATAGTGATAGCACCGCTAAAAGCCTCATTTTTGTCATCACTTGTGCACTAATTCAGAGGTCAACTGACACTGATAAAGGGAAATCAACTTTCCAACTTTTCAGCCAATATATTGGATTTTTTTTCTATGTATAAGAACCTGGAATATAATTCACATTTAACATCCAGTTGTTGATTTAGACAAAAATTTAATCTTGAATTCCCTTCAACTGTGTCACCTGTGACTAAAACCTGAAGTAGCAGACTGTGCCCATGGACCCGTAATGTTGATAGCACAATCAAACCAATGCCATTTTACACATAAATCTCCTACATTAATAGTAGTAATAATAATAATATTACAACACACAGTCCTCAAAATACTGCACGGAATTATCAAAGATAAGAACGAGCGATAATAGTCATAAATGTAACACATATTGTCAACGAACAATAGCAGTAATTTGATCTAGATAACATTCGTATCTATATACATCACACCACTATTGACCAAATGGTTCGGTGATTGATCAATTTAACAAATGGGGGCATGATCATGACATGATCACTTTTATCTTTTTCAAAAAACTGAAACCTTTTCAAAATGTTTCCAGTTCTTCAAATAGAGAAAAATGAAAAGTCTTACTAGTTTCATAAAACAGCAAAAATATTCACTAAACGATGAGAATTTTGCTAAAACAAAATGTCAGCAAAAGAGACTATGTTATTTATATTATTCTACACGACCAATATTCATGGTTGTTTCAAAGTTATTTACACACAAATGATTCCCCCCTTCTATTATGGGGAAGCATATTTCCAAACAAGAGACTTCAGGAAAAAGAAATCCCGTGGAAAGGAGGCGTGATTTTGTTACTAATGATTAAACTCTCCCACACAAACTCTCAAAAAAGAATTTCTTGGTGGGAGAATATGTCATTCTGAAACAAAACGAACCTCCCTCATAAGAGAGCTTCGACATAAGGGAGATAACTGACCACAAAAAAATACATAAAGTTATATATATGCACACACACACATACATACTACACTACGAAGCACTGTTTACAAGCAGATGAACATCACAGCCATATCAGATTTCACAGTTCCTTCCAGTCCAAGAAGAAATTGTGAAGAAAACATCAGGGAGAGAAAAAAAATTGAATTGTTATTTTAATGTGTATATATCTATACGTATATATATACACTATCTTTTTCTCTGCAAGTTTTTTTTTACAAACACAATAAATGAATGAATTCACTAATTTGTTCTTCTTTCATATTCACAACAGTGAAAAGGTTGGGATGTGGACCAATGTTATCCTGATAACAATCTCTACGCAGGAAGGTCACAAAAACACACGTAAATTATGCAGGATAATGTCCAATGAATGAGTTAAACATATTGATGATATCCACGATAAATATAACATAAGTCCTTTCTATTATTAAGTCTGCCTTTAAGTCGTCATTACAGGTTCACTGGCCGATAAAATTGTACAACACTAAACTGTATATATATATATTATTACACAACTCCTGTCTTTGTTCAGTGTCGGATTCTTGTTGCTCAAAACATGTTGTAGAAAACACAACTACTGTTTTGCTGTCATGTTAGACTTGTTGTTCCGGAAGAAAAATAATTCCATCGTAAAACAGAATATTTTTTCTATTGACCCATCCATACTAATGCCCAAACACACGGCAGTACTGCTCGTACTGAACATACTCCAAGCTTTATACACTGTAAAAACACCAGGACCATTATCTGTTGATCTTCAACATCACAACATAAAAGTTGGTGAGAGTTACTTCCCCTTGTAAGTCATGCGAGGGATGTGTATTTTAAGTGTCCCTCTCCTTCTTGATGAACATTGTTTGGTTGCTGTGGTGTCGTGGGGTGGCACCGGTGGGAGAGGTGTCGGGGGACCCTTTAGACGGAGTGTAGCGCCCCTCTGATGACCCCTTGGAGGGTGTATAATGCCCGTTGTACTTTTTCTTAGACAAGAGGTCAGGCACCAGTACGCCTAGTCTCTGTAACTCTTCCTGCATCAGCAGGTTTTCACAGCGCACCTGTGTGTAAGTTGCTTCATATTGCTGGAGTCGTGTTGTAATCTCCCGATTCATTTGCAGAAGTTTAACTGCCTGTAATGTAAAACAACAAGTATTAGTGTTCAATACAATACACAGCAATATTCTTCAAATTTTACAAAAGTAACTTTTTTTTTCATCCATGTTTAATGGTCGATTTGTATTTGGGCACACATCATACAATAACTCAAAACTAACACAATACCCAAGGTCACTCTTCAACAACTTGAGTTCACTCATCAATAACTCAGTCACTCCTAAACAACTTCAGTACACTAATCAACAACTCCATGTCAATTTTCCATAAATCAAAAGTCCCCCTCAGTCTATCGCAAGTCCTCATAACTCAAAGGTCCTCATTAACTCAACATTACTCCTCCTTAACTCAAAAGTCACCCCTCGATCATTCAAAAGACTTCAATAACATCACATAACTTCTCAATAACTTCAATATTCCTGGTCACGCTTAACTGTGTTAATGTTGCATGAATGAAGTTATTACATTTTCTACAGTACCTAGTTGTAACTATCGGTCACTAGCTCAGTCGAAGGTCAAAAAGCAGTATTTGACATCTTCATTTGATGTTTTGTTATATTTGCATTGAGGTAAAATATTGCGGGTCGCCCACCATTTGAGGGGCAACACTGAAATGAGGGAGCTGTGTTAATTAAGTGTTTGCGCCCAGTCTTATATCAGGGAGTACCAACTTATGCATGCAGAGCTTAATTTGATTATTTCTGGTGGAACTATATTGGAGTGATACCACAAAAACACTGTTTCAATGATTGGGGTCAGTGGTCAAAAATGTAAATATACTTTTGGTGCACAAAACCATGATTAAAATGTCAAATATTTAAACGCCTTTTATCTCTCCCTTAATAAATTACCAAAACTCCTTACAAACCAAAAATAATGAAGCGGAAGTAATAGCTTTATAACATTCAATATGTAAGGATGTATATGTTATATGAAATCTAAAGTTCAGAATGAGCATAGAATCCTAAAACCCTTCCACCAGGATTATGCATTAATCAAAATGAAGGAAGTATTGTCACCAAAATGCCATTTACTCCGGATTTCAATCTGAACTCTGGAGGAACTTCTGTTTAATAACATGTTAGAAAGAGAAAAACAGTTTTGATTCACCCTAACAAACACGTTAGTCCTACAAGATTTGTGAAAGGAGTCCCAAAGGACCACTGTAATAGTGCATGTTTTCTCTCCTACGCTATTACGTCTGATTGGCACACCACTCTGGTGTAATCAAACACACATATTGTCGGAGATTATACGGTTCCCTTGACAACGGTGAGGGTCCCGCCTTTCCCATCACTCCTTAGTTTTATGTACTTAATCTGTGTGCACAATAGTCTGAAACCAACGCCAACAGACATACCTAAAACTCAGATGAAACTCTAAAACAGCCCCAAGGAGCCCCCATCTCGCCTCTCTGATCAATACATAATTGGGGCCAGCTATGGTTCCATTCAGACAACTGTGACAGATAAAATCCACCGGAACCAACCTCCTAGGACAAATTGGCTCTGATAAACTAGTGTTAACTTTTGGCCAGTCATCAATTAACAAAATTACCTTCCCCCCCAGTAGGAAGACAGTCTCTAACGTGACCCAATTACCTCATCAATTAAATAAGCTAAAGCCAACTGGCGTTTTCCTGTCCTTATTTGGCCGCGATAGTCTCCCTCTTTTTTTCTTTTATTGTGTAGGATAAAAGTATCTTTGCACTTTACAACCACCCGTATCCATGCCACTAATGTGTTGTAATAAGAAGATGACCTTTGACACCATCAGCGAACCTATTCTGTCCATGCTTTTCAATCTGTATAATGATTTTAGGGCCATGACACGTTGGTACTACCATAAAATCTTTTTTGATCTACATACTGTCAAACCTGCCCTAGAACACCACTGTATAAAGTGACTTCCTATCTTTTACAACCTTTTTCTTCTCTAAAAGACTATACATATATGAAACCTGTATATAGTGACTCCCTGTCTAATGTGACCAGCAACCATCATCTTGGCTCCCAAATTGTTGGATGAAGCTGCGTTACATGATTTTCTATGCCAGTATCTAGGTAAAGCAAACATTTACAACAGATTAATTTTTATTTATTTTTTCAACTCTCTAGAGATAATATCCTTATATCAAATTGTGTATAACTTATTGACAATTATTTCGGGAGTGTTTAGTTGGCCCTATCAGTATACCATTTCATATACATAATGTACAATGATTTCATTTCTATTGCCCATACAGAGGGTCCTGTTACCCCAACCTTGACGAGGCAATTATATCGGTGAATTTACAGAAACCTGTTTACAAACTTGCACAGGAAATTGGGTCGGTATACTCAGACTTATGTTCAAAACTTCCTTAAACAAGAAAACAATGTACTGGGGGATGATTATGTTGAATTCCCAACAAACAACTTCACCAAAAAAGAGGAAACTTCATGATTAATTTCGGAGTCAGTTTATATATGCCATGCAGAAGGGGTTAGCTTAACCCTTTCACCCCTATGTAACTTCAGTAGACTCTACCATGCTTTGACCTGGATGAGTCCATTATGGTCTACAGTGATGAAAGGGTTAATGTAACTGGAGATGTGCCGTTGATCCCAGCAATATAATATTAACTGCTTCAATAGTTTGAAAAAATGAATTCACAAACAGGAGATGTTGACATCATGCGATAGTGCTATAAACTGTATTTGCACATCATGTAATGCCATTGATAAAAGGAAACAATTTGTTAAACTAAGATTAATATTTGTACAAAAATCAAGACTGCATATTTCGTACTGGCAAAATCACAATAAACACATGTTTGAATGTACTCTAGTATCCCCACACCGACCTCTTTAAACCAGCTAAAAACAAAACATGGGAACGTTTAATAATGAATGAAATGGGAGGCCTGGTGGTAATAAAATTATTGAAAGGTGATACTACATTACAGTACCAGTGGCCATGATCCAGACACATGTAAGACTGGTAAATAATAAATAAATAATAAATAACGTAGCTAGTGCCCAATGATAATGGGAAAATTACTGAAAGCTAAATCGATAGAAAATCAAAAATGTAATGCACTCTGAAGAGATGAAGACAAAACAACTGATCATAAATATTTTACCGGTTATCTTTAAAACAACCTATCTGCCTACTGTTTAACCCTAATGACCTAGAATACCCAAGAAGATGTAAAGCAGAATGTACATGTATGTATTACGTGTTTTAACATCACACATATGTAATTGTATTTATATTACAAAATATAACAAGAACCTGTGTCCGTTTTTTCTCTCTACCGTAACTTATATCAATAAAGCAGAGTAGTACTTCAAAGCACCTGGATCCGGACCATACAACAGTGAATCTAGTTTACACAATGATTTTAACATCTGAAATATTTTTTTTTAAATCGATTTGACACCTTATTTTTAAGTACTATGTATTCAAAGTTATCACCTTCTAAGAGATATATACCTAGTATATGAACAAGCACAATATATCATAAAATACCTCCTTTCAAAAGTTCTATGTATTCAATATATCCAGTATAAGAACACGCGCAAAATATCATGAAATACCTTTTTTCAAAAGTTCTTTGTATTCAATATACTCAGTATAAGAACATGCACAAAATATCATGAAATACCTTCTTTCGAAAGTTCTATGTATTCGAAAGTACTATGTATTCAAAGATATCACCTTCTAAGATAATCCTACCTAGTATATTATGAAATTGGAAATTCCTGTTAGAAATACTAATGTTGAATGTAGATGTAAGGGGAGTTCCACTTAACTAACTAGAAACATCTCTATTGCTTTATGACCTGGCTTCTCATGTACAAAGTAAATATGACCTTTGTGTACTGATAGATCCTGACTTCTACACCAGCGTGCCACACCTACAGTACCCCCTCCCCTACCCCTCCCCTTCCCTTCCACTACCATCACCGGTAGTACCCTTAGTGCAGCCGGCAAGAGATTGAATCCACAACTACAGTCTACCCATTTACCTCAAAGAAACCCTTCTACACCCTAATTTAAAATTCCCATTAACCGAGTTTGCACAACGGGCAGTGAACCCAACCCACCCATCCGAGTCCTATGTAATACTATAAGGTTTACAATTCAGGGTCGAGGAATCGGTGGAGGTCATGCCCAGCACAAAGGAATGATTTAAATAAAGAGTGAAGCGAAACGTAACAAAGACAGTTGAAACATGGGGAAATTACTGGGGACACAGAAAATGTTGTGTAGTTATGTGTGAAACTCTTCACACTTGGGTGTGAAAGTGACACGATTTACGAAATAACAAAATACAGAAATATCAACAAGGAAAACATGGGGATTTTTATACTGCATTTAACAACACATTTCTAACAACATGCCTATCTATTTCTTACACATAAGGAGGGACAAAAAACAGCAACAGAATTTACAATGTTATACAATATAATTTTTCAATTTTTTTAAAAGATACTACCTTAACAAATGTCTTGTCCCCAAAATATAGAAGTCAAGTTGTTCTAAAGCAACGAATTTATTTTATTTCACATTGATTGCTTCAAGATTTTGATTAAAGGATCAGCAGAGAATGTGATGAAGGGCAAGCAAGGACGTAATTTGATTACGAACATGTCTCCTGCGGAAACAATTACCGAATAGACATGATCATGTCCTACACAAGATCAACATGCAGCCTGTTGCCAGCAGATGCCAGATTTCGCCTCCAAGTCTAAACATACACACAGTTCGACAAAACAATTACACCTATAGATTTTTTCCTGTGGTTTTGACAGCGTTGTATATAATTATACCCCCTCCAAGTTTTGACGAGGCATATTGACATTAATTCATAGAGTGAATAGAGATTTTTTGCTTTTGCAGACTTACAAACGCAGATACTGAAATGACTTTTTTTTTTTTGAAGACTTACGAATTCAGAAAGTGAAATTACTTTTTCACTTTACTATTTCACTTTGGCAGGTTATACCACAATATTGGTCCCCATTTCCCA